TGCCATTTGAAAACAGATTTCATTCTCCCATCACGTTGTGTAGTCCCTTCACAACCTTTTTAAGAACTAAGATTGTCACTCCTCTTTCTAACTCCTCCTTTGCAAAGATCTGAATGCAAATTTCTGCGAACTGTAGAAGATTCTGTAGTAGCTCCACCTGCTACTGTATTCCCTTAAAGACGATACAAATTTTTTACCTTGGTGCCCTGTAGCACCACAAAAGAATCCATCACGACCATCATTGTTCCACCCTCTGTTACAACCTTGCAACCTTTAGAGCCTAGCTCACCTACTGAAATAAGATTCATCTTCAGATCCGGTACATGTCGTACATCTGACAATGTTCTCACCAACCCATTATGCGTCTTGATCTTGACTATTCCAATTCCCAAAATTTTGAAAGCTTTCCTGTCCGCTGTCAAAATTGAACCACCGTTCACCTCTTTATAAAAGGAGAAAGAATCCTTACTAGGACATATATGAACAGAACAACTAGAATCAAGAATCTAACTGTCATTAAATGACGTACCTAAGAACAAGGTTGTCATGAGAACATATTCATCACTTTTCGAATCACTCATTGTAGCAGCTGCCACAAAAGCTGCTTCTTGAACCTTCTCTTTGCCATTCCCATTCTTTGCCTTTAGTTTGGGACAATGCTTGATGATGTGCCCTATCTCGTGACAGTAGTAACATTCCAAATTTTTATGAGATTTAGATTTGCCCCTACTACCAAACCCTTTGTCTCACTTTTGGCTCTTACAAATAGACCATCAGCCTATTCATCTCTAATATTCCCAGACACCTTTTCCTCAACTCCTGAGAGTTCAATGAGGATTTAATATCCTCCATACTAATAGTGTCTTTTCTATAGAGAAATGTGGTAACAAAATGCTCATAGGAAGGAGGCAAAGAACACAACAAAATAAGGGCTTGATCCTCGTCATCAATTTTAATATCAGTATTTTTCAAATCCATAATAATAGAATTGAAATTATCAATGTGCTCCTTAAGAGGCGTACCTTCCTTCATACAAAGGGTATAGAGTCTCTGTTTCAGGTAGAGTCAGTTGGTGAGAGACTTCATCATATACAGACTCTCCAACTTCAGCCACAACTTTGCCACCGTGTCTTCATCAATAACTTTACGCAGCACCTCATCAGCTAGATTCAAAAGAATCGCACTGCGCGCCTTTTCATCGACCTCCTCCTTGTCTTCATTGGACATAATTGTTGGCAACTTGTCCTTCCCGAACAACACCTTCTTTAAATCTTACTGAGTCAGCAAGGCCTGCATCTTAATGCGCCAAAGACTGAAGCTAATCTTGACATCAAATTTCTCAATCTCGTATTTTGTGGACGTCTCAAAAAAAAACTCCCCAAATATCTCTGATACCAGTTTGTTATGAAATATGGAACAATATCCCCAAAAAAAAACTCCATGGAAGGAATCCATGGAAGAAAGTCATGCTTGAAGAAATGAAGGCCCTTGAGAAGAATGGTACTTGGGATATTGTTCCATTACCTAGGGGTAAGAAACTAGTAGGCTGCAAATGGGTCTACATAATAAAGTATCATGTAAACGGAACAATTGAGAGATATAAAGCTTGATTAGTTGCAAAGGGCTTCACTCAGACCTATGGAATTGATTATCTGGAAACATTTGCTCCAGTTGCCAAGATGAACTCTATACGTGTTCCTCTTTCTTTGGCAGCTAATTTGAATTGGCCCTTACATCAGTTGGATGTAAAGAATGTTTTCCTTCTTGGTGACTTAGAGGAAGAGGTGTCTATGACTATACCCACCAGGATTTAAGCTTACCAATGGTCAGAATTTAGTGTGCAAGCTAAATAAAGCCTTGTATAGGTTAAAGCAATCGCCACGTGCTTGGTTTGAGTGGTTCAGCACTGCTGTGAAAAGAGTAGGGTACACACAGAGTCGAGCAGATCATACTCTCTTCATCAAGATGCACAAGGGCTGCACCACTGCCTTTATTGTATATGTTGATGATATTGTTATCACTGGAAATGATCCAAAAGAGATTTGTCAAATGAAGTCATTCTTGGGGATAGAGTTCGAGGTTAAAGACCTCGGATCATTGAGATACTTTCTTCGTTTTTTTTTATAAGTAGATCATTGAGATACTTTCTTGGCATCGAGTTGTGCAGATCGAAGAAAGGGATGTTCATTTCTCAAAGGAAGTATGTGTTAGATTTGTTGGTTGAAAGTTGAAACAGGCAAGCTTGGAGCTAAACCTATTGATATTCCCATCAGAACCATAGGCTTAATGATGAAGATGGAGACCCATTAGATGATGTGGGAAGATTTCAGCGATTGGTTGGGAGACTGATTTACTTATCTCTCACGCGCCCGAATATTGCCTACACTGTTAGTGTGATTAGTCAGTTTATGCATGCTCCACGTACACCTCACCTTGAAGCAGCATGTTCTTCGTTACCTCAAGGGTTCACCTGGTAAGGGGATATTGTTTGGCAGTCATGGCCACTTATGTGTTGTAGCCTATATTGATGCTGATTGGGCAAGGTCTGCGACAGATCGACGATCTACTTCGGGACACTGCAAAATTGTTTGAGGTAATCTTGTTTCATAGCGAAGCAAGAAACAATCTGCAATAGCTAGATCCAGTGCAGAGGCTGAGTTCAGATCCATGGCACAAGGAGTTTGTGAGTTGTTAGAGTATCTCCAATGCAATGCTATAAGGGCTGCCATTTCTAAAATATACCAGGAGATGGTAAAAATGGGCTCTCCAATGCAATGCTATATGAGCTGCCAAATTTTACTTTACCAAAAGTTATGCCAATTGTAGCACAAGAAATAGCTACTGCTATTTCAGAAAAAGAGAATGGCAGAGAGATAGAAAGGGGGGGGGGGGGGGGGCGGGCGATGGAAACTGAAAGATATGGGTTTTGATTTTTTGAACAATCTGAAATGATATATATATATATATATAAAAGATCATAAAAAATTTCACCAAATAGGATTTAGTTTGCAAAACAAGAATTACAGACCTTGATTAGTTGATTTAGAAAAAAAAAAAATTAAAACAAAACCCATACGTACAAGTTAGCAGTTACAGAGAGAGAGGGGGGCAAGCTTGAGAGTTGAGAGACAACGGCTGAAGCTTGCGAACGGCAAACCCGAACTGGAGCAGCGGGCGATGGAAACTGAAAGATATGGGTTTTGAACTTCTCATTCATGTTGATTTTGTAGTTTGCAGTTGCACAAAGAGAGAGAGGGGGGGGCAATTTTAGAGTTGAGAACGAGAATAGAGATGGAGGCGATTGGGGAGGCTGAAATGATTTGCCCTAAAAATATATATATTTTTAATAATAATATAATCAAATATATATAATATATATAAATTTTCGAAAAAGAAAAAAAAAATTATATAAAAAAATTAATTCATAAATAGTGGTAATGGAATTTCATGTACTCCATATTAGAATTTTCTAGAATTCCTTTAATAGATTTTGAAATTTTTTATCACATTAATTTTATTTTCTTTTATATCATTTTGGTCCTTTTTTGACCAGATATTTTAGATTTTTGCTTCTTTTTAATTAAGTTTAATTTTAGTTTCCTTCTAATGTCTACAACTTGACTTGGAATGTGCCTAATATTAATCTTACTTATGCAAATATGAATAGTGGGAATGGTAGTTGAAAAAGAATGGTGGTTGTGTCAAAAAATAGCATTTTGCATGAAATGCACCATTGGAGCAGAATTGCTAAAATGTAGCATTTTGACACTGTAGCACCTGTCAAAATATAGATTTGGCATATGAAAATAGCTTTTAGCATTGGAGATACTCTTATGGCTACGTACACTGTTGGGTGAGTTGCAGTTATCCTATTCGTGAGTCAATAAAGTTGTATTGTGACAACAAGGCTGCTATTAGCATTGCCCACAATCCAGTTCAACATGACAAGACAAAGCACATTGAAGTCAATCAACACTTCATCAAGGAAAAGTTTCGTCTTGGGCTGATTTGTACTCTATACGTCAAGACACATGATCAGGTTGCTGATGTTTTGACTAAGGGTGTGAGCAAGACTTGCTTGCAAAATATGTTAGTCAAGCTGGGCATGATAGATATCTTTGCACCAGCTTGAGGGGGAGTGTTGTCAGGGGCTTATTTGTTATTATTTATATAATGTTGGGGCTTCTGTGTAATTTCTGAAACTTGTTATTATAAATAGAATGTGGTGGAAGGATGAAAATATATTTTTTCATTATTTCTCTCTTTCCCCATCTCTCTCTCTTTTTCTCTCATCCGCTTTCTTCTCTTTTTCTTCTTCTTCTTCTTTATCACTTACTCTTGATTTGATTATATCTTAAAGTCAACAGTTTTTGTTGTTTGGACTTGCCAAATTAAAGTGAGCAACCCAGGTGTTTGGACTTGTCAACCAGTAGTTTTTGTTGTTTTGTCTAGTCTATTCCAAACTAGAAGTTTCAAGTTCATTGAAAGTCACTCAGCCTAAATAAAGATTGGATGACACAATTTACACAGAGAGGCAGCTGAATTGAAGCTCTTAGAGTGCTTATTATAATGTATTGATGGGACTGCATAATCAACCTGCAACCTTTAAGACTATGAGGTTCCAATCTCTAATATTCCATCAGATCCTTGTAACTAATGGGCCTCTTTTTATAATATCCATTCAGATGAGAGCTATTCAAATGAGAATAAAAAAAAAAACGCATAAACAAACAGAAAATTTTAAATTACATATATGCAGATATACTCACAAATCAACACCATATATCTATGATGTCACTGTTATACTATCGACCAGGTGATTTGGGGGTCTGTGAAGGTGACAGTCCATTTGCATTTATTAGTATGTGTTGAAGGATATAAATATTAAAGTTGCACCCTCTCTAACAGCTTAAGCTTTTGGAGTAGATGGTTGTTAACAGTATGATACAAGGTTAATTATCCTAAAGCAGTAATTATTGGTGCAAAATAAAATGGAAAACCTTTTCAATGAGATCCAAAACATCTTGATTATCAACAAATTCGATGTAGCTCCAATCAATGTCCTCTTTCGTGTATTCTTCTTGTTCCATTTTGAATACGTGCTGAAAGTCATCATTGGACACTTCAGTAACAAGATAAAACTAGACTAATGCTTACATGATAAATATTATCTGAGAGCTACCTGATTAAAATGTTGTTGCAGTTTCTCATTTGTGAAATTAATGCAAAACTGTTCAAAACTGCATACCATGATACACGGAATTAAGATATAAGAAATGAGAATGCCCATAGAAAGCATTTGCATGCATTATTCTTTAAGTTAATCTAAAATCTAAATATCTACTTTCTTTTTTTTTCTTTTGCTTTTTTTATTATCAGTTGCTACCTGTTGTTCTTAAAGCTTTCAAAACCATAGATGTCAAGGACCCCAATCAGATTTTTTGAGTTAGGATCTTGTCCAATCGAGACATTAATTTTATCCACCAACCTGCATATGATGAAAAGTACCTTTAGCATTATATCAGTTTCTCATTCCAGTTTTCACACAGAAACCGCAGAATATCTTCATTGATAAAATTCTTCCCAAAATCTAGTTCCTTACCAATCAAATAATCGAGAATATACTGTCTTAGCCAAACCATCCCTGCTAACTGCTGCACTAAGAGGATCAAGACTTCGCTTTATAACTTCTTCAGGGGTGACCATCACACGTTTACATAATGCATCTTCCAAGGCCACAGGATCACACCTGGAAAAAAGAAAAAGACGATAAAATCAACATTTACCATTTAAAAAAGGAAACATAGATCCTATTAACTCTGATAGTGATATTGGGAAACCATTCATACATAAGAAGTTCAGCTGTCATATTAAGATGGAATTTGGACTTGTCATCCTTTGGAGCTGATGAATCCATTTCCTTTCCCTTCGCAAAATCGATATTGCCAAGGTGAAGAATTGCAGCAACAACTCTGAAAATTGCTTCCTATGAGAGAGAGAGAGAGAGAAAGAGAGAGTAAGAGAGAATGCTCTTCCCTAATTCTGTTCCAAAAGAAGTTGAGAAAATATAGTGAACAACTTTGCAAGGTTATACCTGATCCTTTCCACTTATTCCAACAATATCCATAGCTCTCCTAGTGGCAAGATAGTCATGGGCATCACTTACACCAACCAGCTCGTAACACTTTGACTGGTTAAGATAGTGAAATGATTTGGGACTTCCCAACTTATATTTCTCAATTTCCTGGCATAATGAAGAATGTTAGCCCCAAGTAGTAAAGGATTTTTAATCATCACATTATATTCTACAAGTTCACATCACAGTATTCATTTCAGTAGAGAGTTACCTCCTGTGGTGCGGCACAAAGAAGGTAAAAGCAATGGTAATTGCGCTCCGGATCTGAAATTTGGCAAACCCGAGATCTCTCTAGAAGATAAGTCCTGATAGCTGCTCCTGATATTCTTCCAAGCTTATCAAACTGGATCTCAACAAATTTACCAAATCGGCTGACAATATTATAGTGAGAGGATATCAATGCCTTGAATAACAAATATAGAATCAGAAATTTTGATGTCTCAACACATATTGTATACTAATATTGGAAAATTTGTAATTTAAGTCAGTGAGATTTGAAAGAAATCAGCAGTCCATTCACCAACTATTCTCGTGTTGCATTGAATCAATAATTAATGTAGTTTGTGATAAAAAGTCAAATAAATCAAAGCTTCTTAATTACTTATAAATTGGTTGCCAAGGGAATAGAAAAAACGTAATATTTCATTGCACAATCATGAGAGCACCACACCTGGAATTGTTATTTCTAACAGTTTTAGCGTTGCCAAATGCTTCAAGAACTGGATTAGACTGCGCTCAAATCAGTTAGTGCAAAAGTTCTGTGATACTTACTATAAAAATCAATAAAACGGAAGCAGTAGAAGATAACGAGAGTAATCGAAACATTATCTGAATAACAATTAAAGCTATGTCATCAAACATACTTCAAGAACTTGTTGTTCAACTGTGCGTCCTTCAGTAGCTGCCCGACCACCCAAAAAGGCTAGGTACCGCATAAGCATTTTTGTGGTCTCAGTTTTACCTGCTCCACTTTCACCACTGACAAGAATTGAATTGCTTTTTCCCTCATTTATCATAGCTCTGTTTGCAAGGGACATGTTGAGAGTTGCGTTATGCGGGGAGGGATTTGTACATAAAGAAGTGATATTTTAAATAGAATGGGCCTCACCTGAAAGCAACATCACCAACTGCAAAAACATGAGGGCTTAGTTCTCCAAATGGTGCACCCTTGTATTGTTGCATCATGTGAGCATCATAAAGATGAGGCAACCTTTGGAATGGATTAATTGCAATAAGAATATTTCCAGTGTAAGTCTGTCATGAATCATGATATTGAACATTCAGAGACAAGTATTAATGCATGGATGAAATAACTAAAGACTTTTCCCTTATAGCAGCGAGAAGAAAAGCTTACATAGATTTCATTAAGTTCATATCTAATTTTAAGATTCTCCATGACTCCAGGCTCATGCAAATAAGATAGTTTTGTCATGTCGTCAACTCCACAAGCAGGAGCTTCCATATCCTTAGGGTAAATATTTGATAACTTTGCAACAACCTGATAGGTAAGTCAGATTAGACTGCTACATGAATATAAGTATAAAAATCAATGCAAACATGAGATTTGAACAGAGGTTTCCAGCTGTCAAGTTGCAAACTGTTATCCCATTACACTTAATGAAACTGACCTCAGAACACTGTAACAAAACAGAATAAATTATTCTAGATACAGAATAAAAGTAGTTCGTACAGTTTACCAGAAGAGTAAGAGACGTGTCAACCATAAATATTTATATGCATATAAAAAGCTTCATCAGTTGAAAAAGAAAATGAGAACTATAAAGCATCATATAAAATATTGTTGGCCTGTTGGGTCAGCGGAAGAGTGTGAATAACAAAGATCCAATGATAGGCAACAAAGCAATCACACATAAACACAAGATATACATGGTTCAGCCAAAACCGGCCTACGTCCATGGATAAACATGTACGTGGTGTTGGTGCTCTGTTGTAGTAATATCTCTACGAATCATAGTGGAATCTCTTCTCATCCATGGACGTAGGCTAGTTTTGGCTGAACCATGTATATGTTGTGTTTTGTGTGATTGCTTTGTTGCCTATCATTGGATCTTCGTTATTCACGCTCTTCTGCTGACCGAACAAATTGGTATCAGAGCCAAAGGTGAAGGACATCCAGAAACCACAAGAAGTCTCAACATGTGCTACAACGTGCTTCAGTTGTAGGTGGAGTCAATTGGCTTGGTTACATGGCATAGAGCTCGAGTAGTCAAGGTGGAGCCTTGGAGGTTTGACTGATCAAGCAACATATAATGTAGATAATCGGAGTTTTGCAGGAGTAACATCAAGATTGAAGCTGCAAAAGAATTGTCCTGATCAATGCCGTAGAAGCGATAATTGGCTGGATAGAATTTTAACTAAGGTGGAGATTGTTGGAAATTGTATCTCAAATTCCTATTATAATTAGGTTTCTATTTTAGAGTTGTATTTTGTTAGGAAATTTCTTGTCAAGTAAGTCTTGGGCTCTAAGAAATTGTAATCCTTGTCCGACAAGGAATTGTGTTTGTAAGTCTATAAATAGATACCTAGGTTTTGGGTTGAGACTTATGAGATTGAGAGAGATGTAGTCTCATGATGGAGTTGATGGGTAAAGGTAGTATGCGGATTGGTAGAGTAGGAAAAACACCGGTGACACTGGTAGCGAGGAGATAGGCTAGTGGAGTGGTACATGGTGAAAAGACACGTACGTGGTGTTGGTACTCTATTGTTGTAATATCTCTACGAATCATAGTGGAATCTCTTCTCATCCATGGACGTAGGCCGGTTTTGGCTGAACCATGTATATCTTGTTTTTTTGTGTGATTGCTTTGTTGCCTATCATTGGATCTTCGTTACTTGCGCTCTTCCGCTGACCCAACAAATATAAATACAACTTAAAAGCTCCTTTATTAGCAGAAGGAAAAAAAGAGAAGGGAAATCAGAAATCAGCACTGATAAATGCAAATATGGAAATATGGAAGAACATCATAATTAAATCCAAAAAACAAGTGATTGACAGCTAGGAACTTCCTAAACACGTGGAAATTTAGAACCAGAAAATGGCAATATATATGGACGGGTATAGTAAAGGAGAATCCAAGAAGGTTACCACAAACCATGAAATCAGTAAAAACTAATCCTCTAAGATATTAAACAACAAAATATCAGCTGTTGAAATACAAAATTCGGAAGGAAGGCATTAACTTGTTTTGGTTTCACACAAAAAAGACAGTGAGTAAATGTACTTGTTTTCCATGAACATGATGGTGAAACAACTACCATTTTAATTTTCTGTGGAAAATAATTAAATATTTATGAATTAAAATTACAAAATATTAAAAATAAATTGTGACTTCAGATCATGGTTGATCCACCTACCTTCTTCCCATTTCTAGTCTGAATCTCAGCTTCTGCCCCATTAATTTTTAATACCTGTCCATCAATCCAAGCTAGTGCTGGGTCCTCGACCCAGACATGGGAACCTGCGATAATGTTCACTGGAGTGCCCTGCAGCCAGTGATGATTGATACTGATATCAGAGAACAAAATTGTCGCTGTAAACAGTGTATCTATGAAATATACATCTAGGCATAAAACAAATATATATATATATATATATATATATATATATATATATATATATATATATTATTTATATATGGTTGCACACAAGGAAAGTTTTTGTCTCAACGAATCACACGAATGAAAAGTATGTGGATTGTGTCAAAGAGCTCAAACTGGTGCTTTACATATTAGTTTTTTACCACATTTTTGGGTTACTAAAAATATCCACCTGTGTCAGAAAATTTAAACTAGACATGAGATCTTAGCAAATTGAGGGTTCCACAAACCATGAATTTAACTATTATATTACCTGATAAAAATAAAATAAACAAATAAATCCAACACAGTTTTACCTCGACATGTTCAAGAGTCATCTTGTAACCTCCTGAACACCTTTGCTTTAAATTGATGAATTCTTATATATGAAAATCATGACAGTTCAACTTGTAGTTATGTATATAATTATTCTTATCTATATCTAGTAACTCTTAGTCATTCCAACATGTTTATGCAGGTGCAGCCACCTTCTATTGAACCTAACAAAGACTCCAATCACTTCAGTACTTCAGACATGGCGGTTCGTGTTTGATGGTACTTACTTTTTCACAACAACCAGTGCTTCGCACAGTTCGGCAGTCTTGACTGTCCAAAGCATTCCTCTTTTGTGATTCCTCATAAGACTAATATTATGTCTTTCCAAGTCAATGTCTTTATAATATTATAATTTGTGCATGAATGTCTCCCACCGAAAAACAAAATTATAGCAAGAGAAGAAGAAAGTGGGTTGATGAGAAAAGGTTGGCAATTGGAAAAAATGAAGGGGGAAGAGGGGAGGAAAGTTTTTACTTGTATATTCTTCCTAACATACATAACCATCTCACAATGTCTGATAAGTTTCCTTTTGTGATGTTATTGCTACTTTAAATTGCCATATGTTATTTCCCCCTTTTTTTCTTTTTCTTTTTTTTATTTTTTTTTTCAATCTTTTGGCACTAAATTTTCTGAACAGGCAAGCATAAACCTATTACTCAATTTTTCTTTAGTAAAAAGAACACAGAAGTAATAGACAATTGGTAATGTATATGAAAGTAATTCCACCCAACAAGGGCATCATAATAAGCTCATTTTCCGACTTTATCTCAATTACATGCAATATATGGAGTAATCTATTTACACACACATACATACACGAGACTCCCGTCATTGCAGGGTCTAGGGAGGATCAAATGTATGCAGCCTTACCTGCACATGGAGAGGCTGTTTCCGGTTTCGAACCTGTGACCTCTCCAAGTCACAATGAAGCAACCATCCTCATTCACACATACATATATACAAACACAGCACAGGCGCACACATAGGATTCGTACAAACAAAATCATCACAAAAAATAACAGTACTAAACACTAAACATATTCAACCTAATCTCAATCAATCACGTACCATGGTCCAAAGCTCAGCTTCTCAAAGATTTCCTCTGTTCTATTTGACGTAAGTACTTCTCATAGATTCAAATCTGGGGCATTCGGCTTTCTCTCTGGATCACACAAACCCTGTTCTCTGGAATAACAACGTACCATTTGTCTACAACATATACGTGTACAATACAGAAATTTAATGAAGGAGGAGGGGGAATGGATTGAAGAAGTTGGGTTTTTGAATGATTCTCGAGAAAATTGGTGAGAAAACTGAAATGTGTAATATAGGAATTTATTGAGGAATGACTGCGAATGGATTGAAGAAGTTGGGTTTTTGAATGATTCTCGGGAAAATGGGCGAGAAAGGGATGGGAATTGAAAGAGAAAGGGAAAGAAATCAAAGTGTGAGTGTATTTCCTTTTTTTCTTGCTCATCTTCATGTCTTTTGGTTCGTGGAAGTGAAATTGTTCAAGAGACCCTGTTAAATCGGATCCTCACTGTCTTTCTCTCTGATGTTTCATCTCTCAAGAACTCCCGCCAATTTGTCGGAGATTTCTTGGCCATAAACTCACACACACACACTCTCTCGCACACGGACACACACACATGGAGTCTCTTATATCGTAATGTAAGGAGGCCTTTTTTTTTCGCTTTTTTAAATATTATGCCAATATTTTTTCTCATTTAAAATAAATAAATAAATAAAAATAAATTTTGTTTGATGATAGTCTTTGTGGATCATGATCTTCAAGGGTTCCGTCAAATATATATATATATATCAAACAAGAAAATACTCATTATGCATTTAAATTCAGAACCTATCAATATAAAATCATTAATGTAATAATTTTTGAATTCGCGATTAAATGATATTGCAACATTTGCAACATCAGCAATGTGACATAGTGTTATTTTTAAAATACACAATACACATGATAGGCACAAAATAGTAACAAGCAGTTCATTATTTATATTATCATTTGTAATTCCGGTATAATATCTAATAAATTCATCACAGTGGTCGATATTGAAGAATTTTGTATTTATAGTTATCTATTTTTTACACATAAAATCATCCATCATTTTAAGGCGAACCAATGTTATTATCAAACTAGAATGCACTAAAATAGAAGAAAAATTTATCTAAGTTATAAAAATCGATTTTAAGTAAGGCAAAACTATCATAATTAATAAACCATGCATTTAGATAAAAATAATAATAATTATAATTAAAAAAAGAAAAAGAAAAAAGCTCAGTTCACAAAATCGAATCAATCCAAGTCTAATTGGTTAAATTAGTTCGAGTTAGGGAGTTTCATTGGTTCAATTTGATTCCAATTTTGTTGTAACCAAACCATGTGAACCTCTAATTGAAGAATCTTAGTTGTTTAGGAACAAGTAGAGAGTTAAATTTCATCCCCCCCAAATTTGTACCATTAGTTATTAAAATGTATTCATGTTTATTCATTTTTAGAGCTCGTTTTTGTTGCATTTTATTTTTAAATTTCTAGCTCCATTGTTAGATAAATTTATGGAAATGATTGTTAGTTATTTATCTACCATTTTGATTTTTCTTTTTTCTTTTTTAAATAAATAGTTTACCTTGAATTTTTTTAGAATTTATTTTTTCAAAATTACAGAGCAAAGTATTGTTCAAGTTCCCAACCCCACCCCGTGTCAGGACCAAATAAGATAATGTATGCCCTTTCTAAATTCGTCTTATTGTCATCCCTACTTAAGAAATTCTGTAATAAAACAATAAAACACCACACTCATTATTATAATAAAACAAAAAATGTCACACTCATTTTGCCATAATAAAACAATAAAATGCCACAATCATTTTGCCATAGCATGACAATTGTTTCGGTTAGAAAGAGGGAACCTTCATATATCAAACAAGAAAATACTCTCCCCTGCATTTGCACTCTGGTAAGTGGTAACTCTCTCTCTTTATATGCCAAACAATAGAATCTCTCTCTCTCTCTCTCTCTCTAGGCTACTGTAACTCCATCCCAACAGAAACATCATTGGAGCCAATCAATGGAACTAGGTTTGATCTGCTTCATGGTCATCAAGATTTCATTTATTAAGAACGTGTTTGTTTACTAGTATTAACATTTTACAGTTTTGTTTTCTGACTACAGACGGAAATCAACACAATAAAGAAATGGTGTTTCATGTCCATCCAGATGAAGAGAGTTTCTCTCCTCTGGGACCGGCAACCTCAGAATTCTCCGGCCACCTCTACGACAAGCCACTGTCTTGCTTTGGTTGTGGGATTGGATGGTTCTCGTGAGTTTCGATTCTTCTCTCTTGTTTCAATCCTCCTCTTTTTTGCTTGTCAAATGTGGTTCGTGATTCGTTAACACGAATGTTTTCCACAGGTTCATCTTCGGATTCGTGTTTCCACCAATCTGGTACTATGCCACGGTTCTTTACTTCTTGAAGTGTCGGTACAAGGACCCCAGAGAACGGCCTGGCCTTGCAGCATCTGCCATTGCTGTGAGTTGATTCACTGTTTCGAGTTTTCGTCTGTGTCGTCTTCTCTTTGATGGTTGTCTGGAAAACCTTCAAAACCAGAAATCATTCTCATCACTGAAATTTTGCTTGCAGGCTTTAATTTGCTCGGTCACTATCCTGATTTCCCTGCTTGTGGCGTTCTCTTGACAGTCCTTGATTGTAATTGTGGTTAATCAAAATTGAATGTGCCACAAATCAGTTCCCTAGTCATTCAAATCTCAAGAAATGTTCCCACTGAGATTGTATTGTTCAACACACACACAAATTTGATGCAATTCTAAACATTTGTAAACACACTCTAAAGGTACATTTTATGAGGACTGGACTATTCTGCTTTTTGCTTGTTTCAAGGATGTGTGTGTGTGTGTGTGTGTGTGTGTGTTTAATGTACCTTCAGTCTCCAAAGAATTAACAACAAAAAACAGAATGGAAGGAACACCAAGAAACTAGATCACAGCAAATATGGCAATGTTGTGACAAAACTCTCCATTGTATACTATAGGAAATGCTTTCGTAGAAAAAGTATGGAATATCCAATAAAAATACTGGAAACAATAGATTGGAGGGAAAGAGATATTACATGGGTTAGAAATAAAGACATTTCACCTGAATTCAATAGAAGCAACAAAATGTGGAAAAGGGGAGAAGGAACATAAATGTTTTCTCGAGAGAACTCTCGTCACAAAGTACATACCGGATTCTACGCTAAAGAAATCTAGGTTAATCCAATGTGCATAATGTTAATACCATTCATCAGTGAAGGGCCTGGAGGCTTTTGTTTTGTGTAACTTGGTAGTAGTTCTTTATACATTTCTCCTTCATAACTCGTCTTTGGGGGCTTCCGCGTCAATAGTCTCCTTGGAAGATGCCATGGTGTGCGAGTTCTTAAATTCCTCTAGCTGCAAGACAATATAGATGGGTAAAATACAAAAGATGAAGTTTTGTGCTGATACAGTCTAGAAAAGTCAGTGCCAAAGGTGAAAACAACTAATAAAACAAGAAACCCCCAACAGAAGGAAAAACAAAATAATTGTTTGCACTACTATAACTTGAAAAGCTTCGTGTGTTACTCCGGTCAGCCCATCTCCGAAACTTATTTTTGTTTTGCAGGTGAACAACATAATCCAGACTAACTTAAAAATGCTCCGTTTTGTTAGCATGAAGACGGAAGAGGGGAATAAAACATTGATTCTTATATCTATCCCAACCTTAAATGGTCTTAAAACTTCATTTTTTTATTTTCTCCCCATGTACCTGCCATTCTCAGCAGCCAACAGTTTTTTAATGTAAAATGTAACCAAAGACGGCATTGATTTCGTTAATTGAGGTGGCCACTAGTTGGTTAAAATCTAAATGGTGTTACATCCTTCCCTTCCCGTGGCCAGTTTACAAAGAACGGGAAAAAAAAATTATTATGAAACTAAAGAGAAAGAAACCATATGAACAAACATAACAAGCAACACTACATAAAAAATAAATAAATAAAAATAAATAAATAAATAATCCAACAACAACAACAACAAAGGCAGTTTAAGCTAGCAACGACAAAAACCAGTATCAGTTTTGGTATTTGACCAATATATGGTTCTGATCTAACCCAAACAAGCAAAGATTATTAGTACAGTACTACCCTCTATATAAGACAAAAGAAAGAGTAAAAAATTGATTAAATTATTCCATTATTCACATAAAAAAGAAACTATTAGACACTGAAATAATTCACATCAAAATCACAACATAACATCCATTCGGAATTTGAGGGAATCATTCTTTTTTGGGAATCATACTGAACTAATTCATTTTCATTCTCTGTCCCCATTTATAACAAATTTGTTATTGAAGAAGTTAGTAAATATATTTATTGTAAATCAAGAAAAATAGCAAAATATTATTCAGATTACCAGCAAATGCTATGCGACTGTCTAATAGAAATGTGAGCTCAAGTGCTTATGTGAGAGTTATATTTAGGCATTCATTCGACAACACTAATGTCTACACATTCTAGTCAGTTTATATGGTACAACTATCCTTACACCTGTTAATCAACTGTACTACTGAAATGAAGCACCAAGTACAGCCAATGCTTGATCAGACAATATATGACCAATCTGACACAACTCGACAAATTTGGGGAACAAACCCTACTACTATTACCTTTCGGGAAAAGAAAAAAACCTCACTACTATTAATTATACTAGATACTGTTGCCCAAAAAAGTGGGCATTGAGGACCAAGCCTTTTGCATATGCAAAGTGGTTCTCCGTAAATATGCTAGACTATATAAAATTTCCCAAAAAGAAATACTTACTATAAAAAATCACAAAAAAGAGATACAATTATTTCTTATATTTTATTAATTTTCATGTAATTATGGTTATGCAGGAAATTGGTGCATACACCCTCAAGTGTCAGTTTGGACCATAACATTTTGACAAACATGACCTTGCATGCCAACTTCTCAATATCAAGGTCATTCTCGACCAACATCATCTTTTCATCATGGTGAAATGTTTCTTATCTAACCCAATATCAACACCAATCTTTCTTAGATTTGCATGATTAATCACTAATGATCCTTCTGCAGACACCATTAATTTCCTTCAAGAAAATAACCAGATGAAAAATATAATATATTGGTCCAAATATTATATGTAGGCACCATGTGGTTAGTGTTTCTGATGGTGTTCAAACAACAAAGGAAATGAGGAGCGTAACCAATTAAAGCAACATCATATACAATGGAGATGTCTACTGGTCATTGCTAACCAATTCATTTAAGTTCTTCATTGAGAATTCCCCTTACTTGACTAGGTAATTTACATTCTCATCCATACAATTTTAAGATATACTCTCAAAAGAAACAATGATGAAACCCATAACAAACATCAATTTGTTCTTTAATGTGCGAAAAGGTTTTAGATATGATTTCATATAATCAAGGAATGCTGATACCATTTGTTCCTTACAATCAGCCCACATAAATTCGAGCAGTTAATTTGAAGAAGTAACATAGCCACAAATCTACTTTAAAATATTTCTTTTACCAATGTACCCAAGAGAAAAACTGTTATGAGCATATGAAACTTCTAACATTCCATCGAAGGAAGATATTGAGGACCCTCATTACTTCAATTCTATTTACTTGATCGAATGAAAGAAGCTTTATGCTAGCAAATGTGGTGAAAACGGGATCAGAAACTCATATCTGAAGGCATTGAACATTACACGTATTTACTTCCTCCCAAATATTACACTTACATTGATCTCTAAATCATACATCTTTGAAATTCATGAACATAAACTTCATCATAAGTTGTTTGCATTCTGGGGTAGTTTAATAATATTATATTACTGCTACTAATAAGTTTATTTTTGGTTATTATTAGGGTAAATTGCATTAAAAAAAATCCAAACTATCAACGGATTCCAAATAACCCTCCTGAACTACAAACCTACCCCCTGAACCAACGGAAATACATACTTTAAGGACACGGCGTCAAACGGCCATTGACGGAAAATTGAATTTACCGGTTTGCCCTTAAATTGAACGATGTTGTTTCATGTGATATCCAACTTTAGCGGCTGACATGTCCAATGTAATTTCCATGCCCAACAAGAAATCGACAGCTCATCAAAACCTTATCACAATGCATTCGGTTATATCGATTTCTGCTAAACTCATGCCAAACAAACCTTCAATTGAACAAAACTCAGTCTCTAACCCACTCAAACCTATCTCTCAAACCCTAAGCTTCCACACTCCTTACAGATTATATATACATATATAAACGATTATTCTTCTCCCCTGCAACCAACTCCATCTGTTGACGGCCACCGTCTCTCTCTCCCTCTCTCCACAGCACCAGCATCTCCACCACCATCACCTCTCCTCATACACCATCAAAACAGGTTCCATCAAAAGGGGTTTAATCTCCAAGCCAAAATTGATCCCATCAAAATGGTTTAAATCTCCAAAACCAAAAGTGATCTCCAAATCTTCAAAATGGATTTACTCTTATGTAAAATATATACACTGGATTTTGGTATCTTTGCTTGGAGCAACGATTGAGGCTACTGATCTCCAGAACTTCAAAATGGGTTTATTCTTATTTTGGGATGAAGGTGAAGGCGATGACGACTATGAAGATAGATATGATTGATGATGAAGATCTGTTGGTCTCTCTCCCTCACTCCTGGAGCACACACAAGTATACATATAGTATATATACACTGGGAAAGTTGAAAGTGGGAATTCTGATGATTGGCCTATCTTTAAGGGCAGTACTGTCATTTCAAAAGTATAGGTGGATCACGTGACAAGCTCAAGGTGCATTACCATTTATTTGGGCTAAAATGTCATTTCAACAGCAGTTAAACGGTGGGGTGGGTTTTGTGAAAAAGGGGATAGTTTAAGGGGTTAACTGTCTAAATAGTAGTTCAAGGGGGTATCTTGGAAGAGAAAATAATTCAAGGGGTTTTATGCAAATTACCCTTGCTACTATTATTATTTTGTGAAAGACATTTTTCTTATTCTTTTGTTCTTTCACAAACACATGTTATATATTATAGCACCAAATAAACAAAGTGTGAGCATGATATAACACTTATTCCTTTGTCTACTATGTATTTAAATGAACTTTTCTGGTTGTTCCCTAGCTATACTTGATGATTCCAATGTTTTCATAACTATTTTCCTTCTTTGTTCTGACATGCTTCAATATTTTGACTGATTAGAACTCACCTACGATCCAAATTTGAACTACACTCACTACAAAGGAGCTTAAATCTGTAATACTACCCACTTAAAACTAAACATCCCAACCATTATGCCATACTTGAACAGCCACAGAGATGATCCCTCATGCTGCATAGTCCCCTGTGTGTAACTACATATAGGCAGTGAGAACAGAGGTTCTGAAAAACATATGAAATTGTCTTTCTGTATTAAACTCAAATGAAATGCTATGTTTGCATCATAGCCATATAACACAGGTGGATTATCACCTCGTCCAAATCCAAGGATCTCTTAAGCCCATGGTCATACTAATTGCTGCTAGCGGCATAACATTGGTCATTGGTGTAATCAGTGAAGTTTTATTATATTAAATTAATTACATATTGCAATAATATGCAACTATCTTGTCCCAGCAGTCCACTTTGCAACCAATTCATATTTGAACTAAAGAAATACGGGAAAAAAGGGAAGAAATGAATCAAGTCATACCTCCTTGCATTTTTCTCGGTGTGCTGCCAAAAGCTCGTTATATTTTTTTTGCAAATCTGACATTTCAGTTTGTAGGTTTTCATACTCGAGCACAGTTGGACCACCTAACTTTTGCTGGACGAACCTGTCAAAATACTTACATATGATTTCTAAGATAATTCAAGCTGTTAAGAATATTTATGACAATGATAAATGTTATCCTAAAGAAAAATGAAGGGCATCTAAGAAATGCTTATGATAAGATATGTTTGATTGCTGGCCGCAGGGTTATTTCAATCCAATGACAAGTTTGATTGAACCTAGTCCAGTGCAGAGCCTGATCCGATCCTGTAAAACTTAGGTTTTTCAAAAGAAAAAGATGTTTCTATGCATTCCTACAACTTTATGGATCTAAACCTATATGCAATGCAATCTAACAAAAATAATGAGATAATGCATAAACAAAAACACAATTGGTGAGTTTGATCATCTTTGCTTATTAGACCTTAAAAAAAATGGCTACATAATTCTTTTTCTTTTTAGGTTTTTGAGTAGACTGGAGATATCTGATTATCTGTACCCCTCATCCCGTGCCTAATCTGATGGTTTTACCTACCAACGGTAGCTTTTCTCCTGTCCTTATTCCACATCCAAGTTCTGGATAGGATAAGGTTGGTCAAATCCAGCTGGGTTTTCAGGGCAGATAAATGTGCCTAAAAGCTCCAGTTAGCAAAGCCATGCAATGAACTTCCCAAACCAATCTTTTCAATAATCTTAGATATGGACAATCAATATATCATAATCAGAAAGCTAGAAAAATATGTAAAGAAATTGAATATGATATATGCCCTCAACTAAACATGATAAACCATGAAAATAACTTACTCAACAGCAGAAGAAGGTTTGTCGTTCTGCTCATATAGTGCAACAAGAACTACACAATGGAAAAAAAATAAAAAAAGTATGCATTCAGAACATACAAGTTAATAAACTGGGTATTGCTAAGTTACAGATTTTGTGATATAAGGAAAGTAAACAGAACTAGAACAGGTAAAACCTTTGGTCAGAGCATCAAGAACTCCACTAGACTCCAGATACTTCCTAAAAGCTTCCTTCTTTGCTTCCTTTTCCTAACAAAGACAAAAAAGTATACTAACAATGAGAATAAAGAAATACAAAACCTATATTCAAAGGGACTGTTTATTACCATATTGAATAATTCACTGTCCCAAATCATAGATGAAAACATGAACCAGGGGAAGCACAAGCATTCCTCTGCAATGGAACTAGCAAGTATAATAGGCTTAAGCTATAACTTTTTCAATTGACAAGCACCAAGTAGGCAGTTGATTACATTACATTTTCCTTGTTTCAGTTTAGACTTTGTTGTCTTCTCTGGGAATACAACATTCAGCAACTACCTGTCTCCAATTTCAACCCCCAGGTCAAGAATTATCACAGCTCATGGGCATGCAATTACCTCAGAAGCTCACCATCAATAATAAGGATCCCATGACTCCATTAATGCAAGTTGGTTATGGGTTTAAAGATCTAGAATCAACTCCTCAATATTCTTCAAGGATAACTAACTCCAACCGACTCAGTTAAAATTTCTAAATACCATATCGTATTTTTATACCATTAATAATAAATATGCTTATTGGAACTTACCCTGTCACATGTCATCTATGTGAATATTTTAACCAGTGCCTCTTCGGCCATGTCAATGGAATCTGACGAATAGCTTCCATGTGAACACATCCCATAAACAAATGGCCCAATAACCTAGCAACACCTGTTCTACCTCCATATTAGCCACCCCCTCGGGGTGTGCATATTCCCTTCCCTTGAGGAGGCCAACACAAGTGGTCCCCATCCGGGCCATCCCTTGGCTCACCAGGACTTACTGCTCTGATAAGATTGAATTTGGTCCTGAGACTGTCACCACCACCTCGGGGCGTCTCACCTATTCCGCCTCTAGAATCATGCTCCAAAATGAATTTTTACAACACTATTTCCAGTGCCCGAAGGGCTTGTTGAGCTTGATAAACTGCCAAGGTGTGGACTCTGGATTGAGTTGTGGTCCTTTGCATTGGACTATGGTCCTTAATGCATCCCCATTTTACTTCGATTTTAGGAGTTTCATGACTTTGTGGCTGAAGTCAAGAACTTATTAAGGTACAAAAGTTGTTGCGTCTGAGAAAAGTGGGGAGAGAGACACTGCATGTAAAACAGGAATGATGTTCACCATATGTCAACTCGGCAAGTTTCCACCTCACTTCCAGCAATCATATTCAGCACTGATTTCTCCTTCATATTTTACATGCAACACTTATTTGAAAAATAAATAAATAAATAAATTTAAAAATCTGGTGATGCTTTGATAAGCAAACAAAATTTAAACTAAAGGTGTAAACTTGTTCTAACAATTAACTTTCAAAGTAATTAAATCATATCGCAAGTGTTTACTGTTTTCTTTTCCTATACATTGTTTTAACAATAAAATTGCACACTTTATTCAGAATAGGAGAACAAAAACTACAAAGGGAGGAAAGATGAGGAATTTTTCAAGAAAAAAAACTGGATAGGCAAACAAAATACGAGACCATAGGAGGCAAAAAAAAAAAAATTGAGCTCAACCCACTCAAGACAACATCATTGTGATCGATGGTAGTGCTCCTAAAAAAACAACAAACCTTTTTGGCTTAAAGTCTCACCATCCTCTTTAGGAGCTACCAGGGTCCCACGAACTCCTTAATAGAAGATAAGTACATGCTCATTCTCATGAGTGACTGTAAAGCCACGATCCAAGTCATTTTGTTCTCAACCGACAAACAACCACATCAAAGTCCCCCTTCAACCTTGCAATGGTGAAAATTGACAGAAAAGATTCCCCTAAACCTTCCGATATTAGTTGGAATCTTTACCTTTTGTGCATCCTATTCCCGCTAGCTTAGAGAAAGCAAGTGATGCAGGACAAGTAGTAACCAGAAAAAAAAAAGATGGGGATAAGAATGAGAAAATGAGATGAGACTACAAGAAGGGGGTGAGAAGACATATTGAAGGGGGTAGACTTAAGAGATTGAGGGACTGAGAAAAGCAAGAACACGCGGGAGAAGAAGACACAGGGGGAGTTCGCAAACTCACGATAATATTCAATATTCCAAAGCTGAATACTTTTAGTTACATAGAAGACTTTCTATAGGCAAAACATGAACCAAACCCTAAAACATGGAAATACCCAAATAACCTTAAAATTCAACCATTACCAAAAATAACCAAAAACAATTAAATTAAACCTAATTGTATCAAATCCCGAATCCTATCTAACATTTCCCCTTCTTCTAAAGTAGAGGCGGAACACGTACAGCTCATCCATGAAAATCATAACTCGTTATCCATCAGTAAGGATAGTGCTTCATCCTTGGTCTCTTACAGCTTTCATATGCTTAATTGTCTAGAACTTGTGTCTGCGATTAATCAAATCTTAACGCTCACTTACTCAGCAAGAGTTATGTGACCTTGTCTGATCTAGATGGCAAAACCATGAAAACTATATATTAAAGCACCTAACAGCTTGTAAAATTTGATGAAGACAATGGGGCCTGGTAGAGCCTATTGGGCTCAATTATTAGAAGTGACTAGACAGTCTAGACTATATCTTCACAACTTCTTGCACTTAAACTACTGTAGCAAACAAAGCACACACTATATGCATGTTAAATTAATGGTGAATGCAAGTATTGTGGGGAGGCAGTGGCAGTGCAAAGCGGCATGGAAGCAACACCGGCGACATGTACGGGTAAAGGATGGCGGTATGACTACAATTGATTGGTTTTCCTGTTGTAAAGTTCAATAATCTAATGAATGGTAGTGCATTTAATTCATTATCGTTACATTACTAATTGTTCATTAAGAAACAAAGGACATAAAATCAAATTGGAAAATTAATGAGCAAATCTTTCACTTTATACAATATTGTAAAAGGAAAGACTCGCTGAAAAATTTACTTCGATGCTTTTAGAAAGAAAAAAAAAATGGGATTTAACCTGCTTTGAATTATAATGGAATTATCAAAAGGAACTTTGACAAGGTCACCACCTTATCATTGACTATGTTTTAAGATGTGTAATGATATAAAAAGGCTTGTCCTTTTCTCCTCTCTTCTAATACTATTTCTTTTTCTAACATGTTATCAGAGCCACCATCAATTATTGTTATTTTTTTACTCTCCATTGTGCTGACATTTTTCACCACCCCCAATCTGTGCCACCATGACTCCCATCACTGCCACTAGTCACCTCTGTCAAACTCACACCGTCTCAGCCAAACTAGTCTACTGCCCACAAAATTTTGATATGTATCAAAAGCTTTGATCACACCGAATGAATCATTGGAGCCAAAAATTTCCAACGTCGGCAACCAGAGATTCATCTGGTGTCCCACGCTGCCCGCGTGTCATGTTCTACATCAGCCCTGCCACGTCACATGAACTTTTTTCGACCTTTGAGATTATTTACTGCTTACTGTAGACAAAATTGAGGTTGCTCAACCAATACACACCATATTGGTGGGAGCTATACAAGACAATTAGGGTTGGTGGAAGTTATACATGGCAACTAGGGTTGGTGCCATCCAGATTACTCCTAATGAATTTTTCACGAACACACCAAACATATTGAGTTTGATGGTCATATTCATCTACTCCAAGGTACTCCAGACTAGTTTCCTTTAGTTCCGCTACTCAAACTATTAATATTTTCACCAAAACGCATCCACTTGGATGTTTTCATGACTTGGTTTCCATATCCAGTTGGTGCCTGCTCTTCCACTTTGAATTTGAGGGGGGATGTTAATGTAATATTCTAATGTAAATATTACCCTAGTTACCTTGTCTAGCAATGTAATATTACCCTAGTTAACTTGTCTAGCACCTACAAACCATAGTTTCCTTGTATAGCTCCCACCAACTCTACTTACCTTGTATAGCTCTCTAAGCCTCTCCTATAAATAAGCCCTATGTTACCCGGACTAGGGTACGGTTGTCGGATACGGGTACGTGTCTAGAGGTCCGATGCGGCATTCTCTTGAATTATTGGACACGGGGACTCGGCTAAAAAGTGTCCAAAAATTGGACACGGACACTCGGATACACTAAAAAATTTACATGTAATCTTTTTTTACTTATAAGATGCCATGTACATTTATATACTAAATGTTAAAAAATTGTAAAAGTCTGGATGTTTTATTTTACTCTTCCACTATCTTTTAAATCACGTGTCAAAGTTCCCTTACACTATTTGTTTTATTTTACTCTTCCACTTTCTTTTAAATACATTAAATACAAAGTAAATAAAAATATGATTAACTTTTAAAACAACAGCTGTCATTAACGTATAACAGTTGTTGAAGTCCAAAAATCTCCATTATATACAAGTGGAGACTCACGTGGCAGCAACACATCCTTTCAACAAAACAACTGATCCAGTGAGTGAAAAGTACTCTTGGCTTATACAAATATCCATGCAAAGGCAATGCGTGAAACACAATCATCTTCAACTTTCAGCAAGACGCTATTTTTGAACTAGAGAACCTCCAAACAAGTAGAAGGGCAACCGATCTATGAAGAAACAAACAAAAAAAATATCAAACTTTCACAAGCATCATCCGATCCAAATGATCTACAAGTTTTCTTCACCAACCGTCATGTCCGATCGCACAAAGGAGTGTCTGACCTATATCAAGAGTCGGTGTCCGTGTCGTGTCATATCGCGGGGGGCAGCGGAAGCGCGCTTACACAAATAAGATCCAAGGAAAGCCAGCAAAGCAATCACACATAAACACAAGATATAACGTGGTTCAGCCAAAATATTGCAACAATAAAGTACCAACACCACGTACATGTCTTTTCACCATGTACCACTCCAAGAGCTTATCTCCTTGTTACCAGTGCCACTGGTGTTTTTCCTTCTCTACCAACCCAAAAACTACTTGTACCATCAACTTCCTCACGAGATTACATCTCTTTCAATCTCATAAGTCTCAACCCTAGATACATATTTATAGAGTTCCAAACTTAATTCCTTGAAGCCCAAGACTTGTCTAACAAGAAATTACCTAGCAAAATACAACTCTAAAATAGAAACCTAATTAAATTAGAAATTTGAGACACAATTTCCAACAATCTCCACCTTGGCTCAAATTCCATTCAGTCAATCATTCGTTTTGCACAGCATTGATCAGAACAATTCATTGCAGCTTCAATATTGACAGTCATCCTACAAAACTCCAATTGTCCACACTGTACGTTGCTCCATCAGTGAAACCTCCAAGGCTCAGCCATAACTACCCAAGCTTAACCCATTACGATTTTCTGACCATCGTGACCAACCAAGCCGATTGAGTCCACCTGCAACTGAAACCCATTGCAGCACCTGTTGAGACTCCTTATTTTTTCTGGATCACCTTCACCTTCAACTCTAATACCAATTTTTTAGGGTAGCGTAAACGTGCGAACAACAAGATCCAATAAAAGCTAATAAAGCAATCACACACAAACAAAAGATATAACGTGGTTCAGTCAAAACGGTCTTACATCCACGAATGAGAAGAAATTTCACTATAATTTCTGTAAAGATGTTATAAGAAAAGAGAACCAACACCATATACATGTCTTTTTACCATATACCACTCCACGAGCCTATCTCCTCGCTACCAGTGCCAACAGTGTTTTTCCTCTTCTACCAACCTGGACTTTTCATGGGAGGCCAAGGTGCCTGTGTCAACACGACACGACACGACACGGACACCAACTATTGATATGGGTCGGACACTCCTTTGTGCGATCGGACAAGGCGGTTGGTGAAGAAAACTTACAAATCATTTGGATTAGTTGATGCTTGTGAAAGTTTGATATTTTTTTTTGGTTTGTTTCTTCATATAGATCGGTTTCCCTTTTACTTGTTTGGAGGTTCTCTGATTCAAAAATGGGGTCTTTGTTGAAGTTGAAGAAGACTATGTTTCACGTGCTGCCTTTGCATGGATATTTGTATAAGCCAAGAGTATTTTTCACGCACTGGATCAGTTGTTTTGTTGAAAGGTTGTGTTGCTACCATGTGAGTCCCCACTTGTATATAATGGAGACTTTTGGACTTCGTTATACATTAATGATAGTAGTTGTTTTGAAAAGTTGCTCATTTTTTATTTACTATGTATTTAATGTATTTAAAAGTTGGTGCACGAGTAAAAATAAAACAAATAGTGAAAGGGACCTTCGACACGTGATTTAAAAGATAGTGGAAGAGTAAAATAAAACATCCAGACTTTTACAATTTTTTAACTTTTAGTATATAAATGTACATAGCATCTTATAAGTAAAAAAAAAGTTCACATTTGAATTTTTCAGTGTGTCCGCGTCCAATTGTTGGCCATTTTTTAGCCGAGTCCCCGTGTCCAATAATTCAAGAGAATGCCAAATCTGACCTCTAGACACAAACCCGTGACAGACTTTTTAGCCTAGTCCCCGTGTCCAATAATTCAAGAGAATGCCGAATCTGACCTCTAGACAAGTACCCGTATCCGACACCCGTTCCGGAGTCCGTGTAACATAGCTACCAACCCATAAACTATCTCTACCCATCAACTCTCTCGTGAGACTAAATCTCTTTCAATCTCATCAGTCTCAACCCATAACCTAGGTACCTATTTATAGTGTTCCAAACCCAATACTTTGTTGGACAAGGATTATAATTCCTTCAAGCACTTGCCAAACAAGAAATTACCAAATAAGATACAATTCTAAAATAGAAACCTAATTAGAATATGAATTTGCAACACAATTTTCAATACCTTATATAGCTTCCATCAACTTGTTCCGTTGTATAGCTCTCTAACCCTCTCCTATAAAATATCCTCTATTGTAGTTTTAAGTTGTGTAATGATATACAAAGGTTTGGCCTTTTCTCCTCCCTTCTAGTACTATTTCTTTTTCTAATGGACTAGAACATTGCAAAATCTTTCCCCAGGTTTGCCCATTATTTTATGTCTACTAATCTTACTTGATATACATTAATTGATTTTTACTGAATTGATTTTAATATGTGTAAATATACAACCGTCACAATGGTGCTCAAGCCTCTTATCTAAGCAAAATGTATATATGCTGTTTATATACACAACTAATATGTTTTCATATAAGGAGACGGAATGGACTGATCAGACAAATATGCATCAAAATTGCAATAAACATAAATAAATGAAACACTGAGAATTGAAAAGAACACACATAATTTACCAAAAATAGAAAAGAACACGCATTATATAATCAAATTGGGTATACACGAAAATGCAAGGAGATGAAAACACAGTTCAAATCACAAATTTAAACTATTTTAAAGAACCCTAAATCGCCAAATGGGTTTCTCACAACATAGCAAATGAATTAGATCTGGAGAAACAGAAGAAAGGGAAGGGTATTTTGCAGAAACTAACCATTTTTCACTGCATCTGTGAAAAAAAACCCAATTCACTTCAGCTCGGAAGAGACCCAATTTGAAAATGTTACCTGTATGAAACAGAAAAAGGGATTCTAGAGAGAGAGTATGTAGGAAATCACTCAAATCAGTTGTAAACAGTGGAATGTAAAGGTGGGCAGTTCGATTCAGTTTGAGACGTAAGGACCGTAAGGTTATATAACAAACCCTTCAACTATAACACATTTACACTTATTCCCTCCCTAACAAAAAAACATGGACAAAGCAACCCCTTAGTCCTAATTTGCAACCCGGTTGAGTTCAACCCGACCCATATGAAAGGATAATAAAGTATTGACAAAAAGGTTTTGTGAGTTACTTTTAAGAGAATGTGAGATAAGAAAATCATGTCACATTAGCTCATGATCGAGTTCAACAAAGAATAATATTATGAGTATTTATGTATTTTAATTTTTGAAAATTAAAGTACATAAATAAGACATATTTGGTCTATTTTTGTAAAAAGGGTTTGGTTCTATTAGGAGTAAGTTTGAAAATGAGATTCAAAATTCATTTCATTTCGAACCTATCTTATTTTAGTTCTAAATTAAACTGTATATATATATATATATATATAATTTTTTGCATTTGTTCTTTTCATTATATTTCATGATATTTTTTATTCGTTACAAAAAATAAAAATAAAAAATTATGATTATATTTGTGAAATATTTTATTATATTTAGGCTCCGTAAAATATTTTTCTCAAAAAATTTTCTTTTTTTTCAGGTAAAATATTTTCTTTTATTTTTATTTTTCGGTGTTTAGCAAAGTCTAGGTCGAGTCCATCGAGTGGGATGTGTAAAATAATTTGTCAAAAATTAATGGATAAGTTATTTTTGTTAAATTTAATAAAAAAAAAAATTTCATAAATATTTTACAACAACTAAACACCAGAGAACACAGAAAATATTTTTTTAAAAATATTTTACACTCAAACAAACATAATAATCCTAATTTCTTTGTAAAAACTTCTATCTTGAATGTGTCTAAAATTTTACTTTGCTATTTAAAATTAAGAATAGTGAGATGGTGTGAACATGTCCCAATTTTGAAATGATATAAACATAGGTTATTAATTTTTCGCTAAACAAAATGGGTTGAGAATCATTCTTGAATAAAAAATATAGATCAGATCTAAAATTATACTCCCTTCGTTCTAATTTAAGTGCCTATTTTTTTTTTTTTTTTGAGAATTTAGCTTTTTAAGAAGTAATTTTTAATATATTTTTTTGTTTCAAGTGATGGATAATGTTTTGTTTTTATCAATTCAATGTAAGAAGCGTAAATTAAGAATGGTACAAAAATAATAAACTATTCTTTTGATTTCGACAACTATTTTGGAACAACCAAATAAAAAAGAATAAAGATACAAAAATAAATAAAATACTATAAAAAAATACTTATTATGTGACCGAAGGAATATTAAATATACTGCATGCTACTAAAATGACACGTACGGCCGCCACCTTCAATATTTGATCCTTTTTCAGTTTCTCACTTATTACCCGTATCCTAAATAATTTAAATATAGGTCAAGACTCATATTTAACCCGTTCAAAACAGGTTAAAAATGGACGGGTTAAAAATGGGCAGGATCAACCCCTTATGATAAGTGAATTCATTAATTATTATTTTTTATTTTTTAATTTTTATCTCAAAAAAAATATTAAATAGTAGTATATATATATAGATATATATATATATATATATATATATGTATATTATCGTTGAGATCTGCATCTGTGTACTGTAAGCCGATGCTGTGGAATCTGGAATATAAGAATGAAGGAAGCATGGTAATGTGCACAAAGAATGAAGAGTCATCATGTTTACCCCCTCCGATGCTTCTAGCCTTTTGATTTGGGGGCCTGGATCAAACCTACATTTTTTTTTTTTCAAATTAGTTATATGTTGGTACTAAACATATGTTTGTTTGTATGCATCTGATTATTTATGTTTTTGTGATTAAATATTAATTTTTTGTCAAAATATTATATACATATTTTTATTATGTGTTCATGATCTATGAATTTAAGTTTTGGGTCTTCTAGTAGACATTATTTTTTATCGTAGTTAATATGATATACTTTTCTTGCGATTTTTTAATTAATTTTTATTTAAAATCGAACTTTAGATGTAGGTTTAGATTTTGTTTCCAATTTTTTTTTCCGGATCTGAGTTTTAATGAAAAAATTAAGTGAAATAAGTAAAACGCTGGGGCATATGGATAGCCATTGAATTTTGATTTTTTCTTTTTTTAAATTTCTCTATTCAGAGATACTGGTATCCCTTTTTAATTTTTTTTAAATTTTTATTTATTTTTTACTTATTTAAATTTTTTTTTATTCTTAAATTTTTAAAATTTTTAAAAAATTATTTAAAATTTTTTAATTTTTAATTTTTTTTAAGGTTTTAAAATTTTAAATTATTTTAATTTTTAATTTTTAATTAATTAATTTTTTTAGAAGAAATTTATAGAGAGAGAAACTTAGAGAGAGAGATTGATAAGAGACAAATTTAGAAATAGATAATTGTGAGTGAGAGAATTTTAGAAAGAGAAATGAGTTAAGTGTAATATAGAATAAATGTATTTTGTGGGCTTATTATGTGATGGGTGAAATATGGGTTGAATATGATTAACCATATTCAACCCATCTTGACCCTCAAATTAAATGGTTAAAAATTACCCAAGTTATCTTAATCCTCAAATCAAATATGGTTCATCTATAACTATTAAAAAGGGAACGAATATAAGTGAATTGATAGTTCCTGACCCATTTTGTCACCTCTATCTAAACTTTACAAATTTTGGTATAGAACATATATATATATATATATATATATATATATATATATATATATATATATATATACACAATGCAATTGTAATTGAGATTATAATAATTAAATGAACACCTCACGTATATGGGCCTCCACAAACATTTGCAATCACTGACGTGTGACATTACTTTCGAATCTGACATTTTTACCTCTAGGGACCCAAATCCTTTTTATTTATGTGTTTGAAAGAACACACCACGTAACTGTGTTAAATTCAAGAGTGTTAAATTCATAATATATATACCACTATTAAAATAAAAAATGCAATAACCATATAAATGTCTTGTTATCTGAATTTAAGCGTTTCAATGTTGTATTTTAATATAATATGTTACGTGTGTGAGTGTTTTGTTTCAAATAAAAATATGTTATTTTAGTGTTGCATTCTTGATACGGTGTATTAGTTTTTTTTATTTAATAATACATGTGATAGTTTATATCTATATTTATATATTCTACCAAAAAGAGTTGTTAGATCATAATTAGTGTAAGATTCTCATGCTACCATGTCCAAGTCCAAAGTGGTGAATTCTTACACTAATTATGATCTAAGAACAATGTATAAACACTAAAATATATAAATATGGCGCCGTATGGGTATAAATCACTAATTTTATAACATTATCATCCTCTCCGATTCACTGCATGATTAATCTCACATTTCAATTTAATTTAATTTTTTTCTGAATGTTTAGATTTTTTTTTTTCTTTTTGGCATGACTACAATTAATGGATAGAGTCTAACAAGAACAATTGTCCATATTTTTAAAATAATTAAATATAAATAAATAAATATATATATATATATATATATATATATATATATTTATATATACACATCTCAATCATCCATTACCATAACAAATACCTATGGTCAAGTTTATCGTTTTTTTTTTTAATCCAATTCTAATAACACGTACAATACAATTAACTATTGGATTGACAATAATATAATTCAACATGCCCACTTAATCCCCAATCTAAATTATAATATTTCTGAATTGGCTAACTAAATTTTTTCATCTGAAATTTTTTCCTAATTGATATTTTGCATTCTACCCAAATTATAAGTTCATTGGATTTTCGCAAGTATATATAGAGTTATACACACGTATACGCGTGTGCATACAGATAATATTATAATATATCTGAAATTTGGTTCAATTTGAGCCGTCAATCGTTATTTGCCGTACAAGTAGCTATTCAATGATAGGTGTTGCTGATTGTATATTGTTGAAAGGAAAACTAGATCATCATGGTCTAAATTTTTTTTTTTTGAATAGGTAAGGATCAAATTTATTATTAAAAAGCTTAATTATCTTATTAATCACTATCACTTGAACATGAAAAGATTTAAAGCGAATTAAACGAATCAATGGACCATGAAAAGATGGTGAATACTAACTAACTAAGAGGAGAACTTGTAGCATTTAAACTCATAATTAATAAGCTGTTGAAAATGAGCATGTAAAGGTGATGGATAACTACCAGCCTACAATATAGGACAAAGAGTGAATAAATTCACTTCTGATATGGAGCTTAGTAAGTTCAAGGTCTGAGATTCAAGTCTCGCTGGGTATTTTTTGTAATTAGTCTTCGTTATTCCTATTCTGCTTGGGTGAGGAGGCGTCCTTCCGAAGTTTCGGAGATTAGTCGGTTTGTTAACGGACCTAAAAATACGCGCCATCCCGAACACTCCGGATTAATAAATTAAAAAAAAAAAAAAAGTGAATAAATTATATTATATCTCTCATATCTTGTATACATTGAATGCAATAATTAATCACCTTTTTAGTGCTTCTAAAGTTCTAAATTCATGTAGAGTGATGGTAAAAGTAACATAATTAATGAAGTAATTATAGTTTAGTAAAGATATAGGATAATTAAAAGAAAAAGTTTACTTTTCTGGTGAAGATTGGCCGGTAATTATTAACATCTTCTACCATTCCACTTGTCAATGCTTTTGTAGTCTAATAGTTGAATTGCAATCCGTTCTTCTTGAAAGTCCAACTTCGGGACTTTATATTTATAACTTTTGATCTAACATTCTTGTGTTGAAAGGGAAAAGAAACCATTCGGTAATATAGTTTTCTAACAAAATCCTTTTTTGTATTAAATGGAAATGACGTGGAGGTTGTTAGGAGAAGGCTTAATTTGGACCATTTTAAATTGCAATATGGAGATCATTAGTTTGTACAATCCCAAAATCTTTGTGGTGGGGGTACAATAAGAGTTAAAGTAAGCAAAAAAGACCTTGTTTTTATGTATTGTAAAAAAAAATAAAAAATAAAAAAAATAAAA